ACTATCGACAGAAGGTTCCGGAAGCTTAACTGCCACTTTAAAAAACAGCTAGCAACAGGGTGCCTGGCTCAGCTGGCAGAGCATGCGACTCCTGACGTTGGGGTCATGAGTTCGAGCCCCACGGCGGGCGTAGAGATTACTTAAAAAAAAAAAATAAAGCTCACTGGCTTATTTTATTTAAAAAAATAGGAATGATGAAGAGTACAGTGAGAATGTGAAGGTTCAGGCAACAATCATTGCGTATTGTTTGTTTTTCAGATGTCCTAAAGCCCTGGAAATCTAACATGATCACCTGATTCATAACTCTAAGACAAATGCTCTTTTCCTACAGAGTATAGTTTTGGTTTTTTTTTTCCCTGTTGAAAGAGGGCCAATCATTTTAGTCCAGGTAGCCTGAGCTTTACACATGTACTTCTTGGTAGCACATACCGTTCAAATAGAGTATGTGGACAAAGCCACTTCTGGAATATGCAAGTCCCGTCTCCTTTAGCACAATTAGCACCTCCCACCTCCCACTTTTCTCATAGGAAATCTGTAGACGGAGACAAAGGCAGGTATCAGAACCAACAATTATCTTTGTTATAGGCACACAAGGAGGCATTACAATAATAACTTGTCGGTAAAAAGTAAAATTCAGTGGCATTTGAAAATATTTATAAAAAGATCTTCTATAAAGGGACATGACTAGTGCTCTGCAGGGTCAGAAGGGCAAGCCAGCTTCCTAACAATATTCTAACAGAGCGCATAAAAGCTATTAGTTATTAGTCTGCCCCAGGTCGGCACTTTATATCCATGATGTCCAACCTTCACAACACTGTTCTCTCCATTTACTAAAGTCACACTGCTAACTGCAGGCCCTTCTGACTCTCAAATCCATGCTGTGTGGGTACAGACCAAATCTCCTGTTAAGAAAGTTCATCACTGAACTGGTATGTTATTCACCACAATACTATAGAATATAAAAAGAACCAATTATTTGCTCAGAACAGTGAGTCAGTGGCTGGGAAGTGGCGATGTACACAACTGAGAGTTTCTCCGTTAAGGGTGAAAAAAACAATTATTAGAAATGTGTATTCTGGGGACGCCTGGGTGGCTCAGTCGTTAAGCATCTGCCTTCGGCTCAGGTCATGATCCCGGGGTCCTGGGATGGAGCCCTGCGTCGGGCTCCCTGCTCCGCGGGAAGCCTGCTTCTCCCTCTCCCCCTGCTTGTGTTCCCTCTCTCGCTGTGTCTCTCTCTGTCAAATAAATAAATAAAATCTTAAAAAAAAAAAATGTGTTTTTTTTTAAGATTTTATTTATTTGAGAGCGAGAATGAGAGAGAGAGAGAGCATGAGAGGGGGAGGGTCAGAGGGAGAAGCAGACTCCCCGCCGAGCAGGGAGCCCGATGCGGGACTCAATCCCGGGACTCCAGGATCATGACCTGAGCCGAAGGCAGTCGCTTAACCAACTGAGCCACCCAGGCGCCCAATGTGTATTCTGTAAAAACATCATGGGCATGTCCGCGCTGCGTAATAAATGTTAATCAGGTTAACCACCCACCCCTCCCAACTTCCTTTACTCTTCTAATTAAGTGTATACCCTAAGTATACCTTGTAAATTTTCTATCTGAAATTTCAACACTAATGATGAAGTATGAAGCAAAAAGTGGCAGGGGCATGTCAGTCGGTCTGCATGTCATAAATAAGCCAGAAAATCATTACAGATCAATGATGATGCATAGGTTTCTGGTGGCAGTGATAGCTGAGACATTCAACACCGAGTCCACTTGGAAAACGTCCATCAGTGTCAAGGCTACGGAAGAAAATATTAAAACAGGACACCAAACCATTTTTCCCCTTCCCACTGAGTGTTTATTTTATAGCTTTTGCATTAGGTAATCAACTGAAACACTTCAACAACAGAAAGCTGGCAGAATGTTAAGGAAAAGAGTGATTATCTCTCCAACAGATGTGACAAATGGTTTCAAGTTGGAAACAGTATTGCATAAATGAATCAACTGAATGGGGGAGGAGGGAGAAGAGAGGGAGAGCCGAGACAGAGGAAGGAGTGAGCATCTTCCAACATGGATTGTGATGGGGCAAAGGCACTGTTTAACTGTCTGTAGTATTCAGAAAATAAAAGTCAAAATAGACAACCCATGTTTTCTCAAAATTACATTCAACACTGCTTTAGAGATGCTCACATACCTGACTCTCAATAGAAAGCTGGGGAAGCTGTCTAAAAAATCAGATAGACAGCACCAGTGGGTCTAACTCATAGGCTCACCAGTAATGTGTTTTAAAGAGATCATCACCATCAGGGTCCCTCTATCAATAGTACTGCAAAGGTCACAAAGCTGCATGAACTTAAATTACAGGATAAATCTGACTAACTGATCGCCCATTTCAATCTCTAAAATTCCCACTGCAGGAAATCAGAAAGTAAGCTCCACTCCAGAGGAGCTGAATTGGCAGTGCATTTGAAACAGGGATGCTTTTCCCTCAAAAGGCTGCCTGAGCAGCAGTTTAGTTGGCACGGTACAGCAATTCTGCAGAGGGTAAATGGATGCAAAAATTTCACAGCAATTGCCCTGCTTCCTCTCAAAGTAAATAGCACTAATTTATGAAGAGGCAACTTTTCAAATCATAAAGTAGAAGCACCTGGGCCTCTTACAGACAAACTTCATAAAAGTTTACAGTACCGTACAGCATGGTACTTCTCATAATAAAGGCTTCTAGAACCTTAGGTGTGTTTGAGAATGATCAATGGGAAAACCCAGATAGATGGCTTACACAGATGTTCTCTCTGTGGAATTTGAATGTAAATTAAAATACCAGCTATGCACTTGGGAACCAGCCTTTAGTTAAATTCTCTAGTGCTTTTAAGAATTTTTATTTTATTTTATTAGAAAAAGAGAATCATTGTCTACAAACTATTTTCTTTCTAACTATGCAAATACAATGAGCAAATCATCTGCAATATCAAAATACTGTTTGTAAATCACTGATGGCACTAACAATTTTAGGAATTTCCAATAGGACATAATATTAAGAGCAACAGATTTCAAATTATAGGCATTAACTGAATTTTAAGAATAGGAAATAAAATTTAAAGTTTAAAAGTCAGTTAAGTTTAAGTTCTCTGATTTTCAATCATTTAAACCCAATCATCAAGAATTCAGAAGCACCCAATATGTTCAAAGTTGCACAAATGGGTATGGATGATAGAAAAGTAATCCCCATGCAATATTTTAAGTGTTGCTATCAGATATATTTAAGCGGTACTTTACAGATTAAAGCTCCGTAAAATCAAAATATATCCTCCCCATTACATTTTAAAACAGTCACAATAATTTATCGACAGTTGCCATTTCACAGCAATTAGAAAACAGGAGTTGACACAAGTTGAACAAAAAAAGTATTTTCCTCTTTTAGGAAATAAACATATGCATATATATATACACACACACACACACATACACACATAACATCATCTTTTAAAACTCAAAGTGGTTAATTTGCTTTTGTATTATAAAAAAAAATTCCCTATGGTCAAAATACTGAAAAAGCGCAAAGGCTGGAAAAAGAAAACCACATTTGCCACTTTAAAAAAATACATTATTGTCTCAGTGGTTCTATTTTTTTGATTATAAAGTTAGGTATTACGAGGACTCTGCACTCGTCAGACTCCCAGGACTGTACTGGACCAGACGGAATTCAATCTAACCCTTTCTCCGTCTCCAGGAAGGATACTCCCTAACCCATCCTACAAGATGATAGAATACATGCCTCTCTTATGAACTGTTAAACTGGGAAAGAAAACATGCCCACCTGGAAGCAATCTAAGTCATAAAAGTTCATCAATCTGTGGGAGAGACCACCTGATTAAGAAAGCTATTTGGATATAAGTTAGGAGCTTTTGGAAGTATATAAACTCTTTTAGGTCACTAGAATACAGATTTAAAAAATGGTTTCTCCATAAATAACCATCTATTATGGGGGTTGGTAAACTACAACCCATGGTCCCTATCTGGCATGTCACTTGTCTTGGTAATAAAGTATTATTGGAACACAGCCATGCTCACTCATGTCTGTGTTGTCTATAGCGGCTTTTGTGTTCAAATGACAGGGCTGAGTAGTTTTGCCGGAGACTGTAGAGACTGCAAAGCCTAAAAGAGTTACCCTCTGGACCTTTGTAGGAGAAGTTTACTGAACCCATGACACAGGGCACTACGTGCTACTCCAGTTCCCTAAGAGTTAATGCACCTCAAGATTTTAGCGTGTCCTCCAAGAATAACCTGCATACTGGGGGGTTCCTTAACAGATTAAATGTCAAACACCCCACCCTTGAAGTGGTGCTTTCCTTTTGGGCAAGGGAATAATTTGTATAGATTTTCAATAAATATCCGTAAAAGTTAATAAATACACACACAAAAAGGAAGCCAAATAAGGAAAGTATACCTATCAATGTTCTCTTAATGTCTTCTTGTTAAGGGGGGGGAGGAGTACTAAAATGATTCTCTGCCAACTTCCTTCAGCTTTTCTTTAAATTTGTTTGTTTTTTGATAAGTCATGCCCCCTCCTCACCCCCATACAATTAAGAACCTTTAAAGCAGCCTGCCTAAAATGTTTCTTTACCTAGTTTGGTGAGACTTTGTTCAGGAACAGTATTTATTTAAACTAAACATAGTAAAGATTATTCTTTTAGAAAATGTTCCTAAAATTCTTTATCTCTGTTACTCTAAGAGGGGTAAGATGGTTCAGGGAAATTAAACTCTGCAAAATATACCTTAACAACCAGAGGTACAAAATAGCTACCATTTCTGAACGGTAACGTAAAATAAAAACAGACAAATCTCCCAAATTTGAAGAGCACATTTTCCCCTGCCCTGAGTCAGCTAATGAAGTCTTTTTCAAACATGGAACCTCCTGAACTCAAGCAGCTGTTCATGAATCTTTAAGAGTTCACAGGTGTTTCATATTTCCATAGTTGTTCAAACAGGGAAGATAAAACAGAGAAGATACTTATCGAACACAAATTTATATCAAGATTAACCGTTTTTTCAAACCAGGTTAGAAGTAGACTTTTCCCTTCTTTGTTAAAAAATGAACGGTACGGAACTGTACGTGATAGATGTTTCCATCACCCCTTATGGTTCTACAGCGCGTTAACAGTTTCCAAAGTGCTTTCACGTGCCGTCTCATTTATTCCTCACAACACCCCTGTGAGGTAGGTACAGCAGGTATTAGTCTCCTCATTTCAAGATGAGGAAACTGAGGCAAAGAGAGGTTAAGTGACTTGCCCAAGATCACACGGCTGATAAGTGGCAGAGCCAGGACCAGAAATCAAATTTTCTGACTCCTTGGCCAGTACTCTTTCCACTCTAATTACTGCCCCCAATTATGAATAATGTTCTGTGTATCAAAATTGAAAGGTTACTGAAGTTCATTTCAGTGATGTTTAACAGTAAAGTTAATTGAGAACTACAAGAACAGTAGGTCTGATGATTTTACTTGAGTAATAAAACTGGTGCAAAACCACTTTTACGTAATTACTTACAACCTTTTGGTCCAAATACATAAAATATGCAATATTTACAGCAATTTCCTTTCTTTTTTTGTAAATGCAATGCTTTAAAACACATTATAAAGCACCTTAGTAAAAATAGTCTACAAGTAAAAGTACAGAAGTAGGAAAATCCTACCCATACCACAGCTCACTAATGGAGTTAAAATATGGAATCACCAATATGTCAGTATACCGCTCTACAAATAACCCATGGAGGAACAAATACTAAACTTACTTTTTTGATATTAATGTGTGGAAGCCTTAATTAAAACTCCTGACAATGTCAACATTCTTTGAAGTATCTCCCCAATCTTAGATACTGGGGAGACGGGAATGAGAAATACTGCTTTGACTCTTTTAAAATTGGTTTTTAACACTAATGATCAGTTTTTCTTTTTTAAAGAATATTAAAACGACCTACATAAATGTGGGCAATTCCAACTACAGCAGAAACATTCTTAGCAAATAGGATCAAACATTCCAATGAATTTCATGAGACATGATTCACAAAAACAAAACACACACTGCCAAACAGTTAATAACACTATTCAGTAGAGGTGTATAACCCAAACCTCCAGGTGAGGGCGGAAGTAGCAAATGGATTCATCTTCACTCATGGTTAGCTGGAAAAAAAATGCTTTATCAAAAAGACAGTATCAGAACTTGTGTTTAAAATTGTATTTAGCCTCCAATTAGACCTGCTATGTGTTTATTTTAGGTGATGTGTAGGCTTTTTCCAAGCAGGAGATTATAACTCCCACCAAAATTTAACCAGGAAAAAAGAAAAAAAAAGGAAGAAGAAAAAAAGGCCGAAACTGAAACCTCTTAGGCCACTGAAACTTACCAGCCAGCATCTACCTCCTTGGTGTTACTGTTCCCTAACTTGGCTCAATACACACGGTCTTACACACCAATCAGCAACCTGACTTGTGGGGCCGAGAACTAACGTGAAGACAGGGTCAAAGTTTTAGTTCAAGAACCTAAGAGTCACACCTTGTACTCAGTTCGATTTAGGGTAAATCTTTTCATAGAAAAAGTTTTGTGCAAGGATGTAGAGGTCTCCGTCTTTTTCCCGTACAGCATGGGCTCTGATGAACTGGAACTGCTCCAGAGCAAATTCATAGAACTCATTCTCCATTTTCCAAATGTCAGACTGCTGCAGTTTTGCAATGGTTTGTTTAGTTGGGAGTTTCTTCTCCGTGGTTTTCCTAAGATGAGATTTCTTTCCTACTTACGAAGGAAAAAAGGAAAAGGTGAGTAATTCTGAGAACACACAAAAGAGCGATACTTCTTTACGTGGAGAAATGGATTAAGTTAATGTGGCACTTTGAAGGACAGTAACAGTGTTTTGCATTAATATCATTCAGGCGAAACTAGTGCCCTAATCATACTAGAACTGTGATTTATTCTTTTATAATGTAAATCCTGAACCTGTTAAAGACTGAATGAGATGTCAAATAAGAAAAGTAAGGATCACCACTCAGTAAAGTGTAGGCTATCGCCTTACATGCTGTTCTAATCTCAAACGCTTGGTGCTCTAACTAGTTTATTTTTTAAATATGATAAAATATCTATTTTCAAACTTAATACTAATTTACCATAACCTACATTCTCTACGTGTGAGAAGCTAGGGTATATGCATACTCTAGAAGAGTCACTATATTGTATTGTATATTGTAATCAGCACGTGCTGATTATCACGGCCAGGACTCAGTCTCACCGTCCCACCCCTTCTCCAAACAGCATTGGGCAGGTCTCAGGTGCAATACGGTCATAATGTTTGGTGTCTGGCATTAGTTAATATTACACATTTCTAACGAAGGCTGGTTCTGCAGATCGTATCTTTCCACTATTCCTACAATGCCTTCTAATTATCATCTAATGCATGTTTATTTGCTCAAAAAATACTCAACGAACACCAGCTGTGTGCCAGGCTCTGTTTTGTACTGAAAATGCTAAGAAGAAACAGGCAATATACCTGCCTTTCTGGAGTTGTATCTTGTGCTTTACTCAAGAAACGTCAAATCACACATATTTTTCAAGTTGCAAACAAACAAAGCTAAGGACAGCTTTAAAAAGAAACCCGTCCTTTATATACCTGTTCGGTAGAGTTCTGTAGCGCCCCTGAAGAACCGGGGCAAAGCCGCTTCCAGCAACATGATAAAATCTTCAAGCTCTTCAGTAACTCCCACCAGAAAGTATTCATTAATTAGGTTATACTTGGCTTGATCCATAGCCCACCTGCTTCCCACATTCCTAAAACCAAAGAAAAGGAATTAAAAACCTGGCTGCGAAATCTGCTAAGTATTTTTGATGCCTCTGACACTATATATTATGGAGAAAATAAACACATGTCCATCCAAAGCCTTAATGCCCTTTTATTAATGTCTTCGGTGGGGGGGGGGGGAGTAAATTACTTGATTTCGAAGGTCCCTCCCAGTTCAACAAATCTATGAAATATACTAAAGCAGTTCAATTAAAATCTCCTCACTAAAGTCCAAAAGAGCAATACCCTTTTATTGCTCTAAGGCGGGCGTTGGCAAACTTTTTCTGTAAAGTGCCAGGGAGCAAGTATCTTTGGCTTTGCAGGCCATATGTTCTTGGTTACAAATACTTAACTTTGATCTTGAAGCATGAAAACAGTCATGGACAATAATAAATGGAGATGGCTGTATTCCAATAAAACTTTATTTATAAAAACAGGTGATGGGCCAAATTTGGCCTCCAGGTTGTAATTTGCCAATCCCCATTCTAAGGATATGATTAAAAATTGAGAAGATGTTCTTCCTTTGTTTCCAGTTCTTCTTATGCTGTTATTATGCTTTGGTATAATCTAGTGAGTAGGACCCTTAAGGTTCACAGTGATCCTGGGGCGCCTGGGTGGCTCAGTCGTTAAACATCTGCCTTCAGCTCAGGTCATGATCCCAGGGTCCTGGGATCAGGTCCCACATCGGGCTCCCTGCTCAGCGGGAAGTCTGCTTCTCCCTCTCCCACTCCCCCTGCTTATGTTGCCTCTCTCGCGGTCTCTCTGTCAAAAAATAAAATCTTTAAAAAAAGAAAAAAAGGTTCACAGTGATCCAAATAACATGTCTCACATAATGAGAAAAAGAATGAAGGCATTCCTTGCACTTCTCATCATGGTTTTAAGGAAGACACTAACTCTGAATGAGTTCCTGTTTCTACTTTACCTATTAAAGCAATTAGAACAAATAAATATGTATAAAAATGTACCATTTTTAAAATTTTTTATTATGTTAATCACCATTCATTACATCATTAGTTTTTGAAAATGTACCATTTTTTTAAAAAACTGAAAACTCCGCACATTCTGAGGAAATAAACTCTTTATTAAAGATAAAATATCTATTTTCCACCCCACATTTATTAGCAGACTAAACTGCAACCATAACCTTGACTTCTCTCAAAGTAAAAAAATCAGTTAACAGTAAAACCAGGTGAATAATTTACCTACTAAGCCTTTTCTTGATCTAAACTGAATGGCTAAAACAATAAGCTTAGGAGAAAATGAGGTTTATGAAATGATCCCTGGCCTCTAATTAAGAGCTTTGCTGGAATATAGCAAAACATGTTAACACCAAAACCAAAAAACTACGGGGCGCCTGGGTGGCTCACTTGGTTAAGCATCTGCCTTTAGCTCAGGTCATGATCTCAGGGTCCTGGGATCGAGTCCCGCATCGCTAACCCTGCTCAGCGGGAAGCCTGCCTCTCCCTCTACCTCTGCCCCCTTCCCTGCTTGTACTCTCGCTCGCACTCTCTCAAATAATAAAATAAAATAAAAAACCAAAAAACGAAAAAAAAAACCCAAATTAAAAACCAGCATCTGAGAAAACATTGCAAGGATATGATGTATGAAGAATCTCTTCAATGCACTTAAAGGTAACTATAAAACTAGGTATTACTTAATTACATGTTATTTTTAGCCTGGTCTTTCACTAATTTCCCTATAGCTAGCCCTTGACTACTATGTTCACACTTGTGAAAAACAGATTATAGAGATAATAAAGAAGATTGTCAACTTGAGCTAACTTTATGTCCCTACCAGCATTCGGAGCTGTGGCCACAGAAGAATGGGATTTGAAGCCAGAGCTTCTCCGGAGCACAGTCTGAGCCGCCCTCGGCTACACATTCATCAAAGGTCTGGAACAGACACAAAGCAGCACATATGAGTCATAAACGCAGGTCTCACCTACCAAACACCTTAACAGAGAAGTTATTAAATACATGGGCCGCAGCGGGTGGGATGAGCTAGTGAATTAAAGAGATAGGTGGGTTACGAAAACACACTTGAGATATTAGGGAAAGTTAAAGGATTTTTTCCCCATCTTTGTTTAATGCTGATGTGTATAGGTTTTTTTGTTTGTTTTGTTTTCTTAACTGATGAAATATACCCTCCCCCACTCAGATAATAATTTGTCCTTGAAAGTAAGTACTGGTTTATGTTGAATTTGTGTATTTGTACTTTCTAGCCCCCTTACAAAGGAAATAAAAACAAGGCTAAAGATACTTTATGCGAAATAATCATTTGAAAAGAGTATAAAGGAGGACTACACTTAAAAGTCTTCTCTCCTTTTCGCGATAAAACAAACAAAAATTCATTGTACAAAGCAGATACTGATGACCTGTGTGCCCTCCTGTCCAGGGCATTGGACTGAATTAATTAAAAGGGAAAGAGACTCACAGGTTACAAATCTAAAATTAATCAGCTTCACTTCCTCGAATACTTACTGTCTGTCACAGGCATTTTAACAGTAGGCACTACCTGTTTGAAATGATACTGAGATCCCAGAGAACAAACTTGGGAGCTCTGGTTGTCGTGGTGAGACATCTACAAATGCTACCTGTTATTTCTGAGAAGAGAAAGTGTGAAAGAATAGAAAGAGCACGAGAGCTGAGTCAAGGCTCTTAGGTTTCTGGAACCAGGTTTGACCTTATTGTAAGTAAGTCTTTAAGGACTCCAAACCTCAGTTTCTAACCTATACAATTAGATAAACTCAAAGGGCCCCTTTAACCAAAAATCTATGAGAACAGAGCCAAAAAATCCTTACACCTGGTGTTGGGTGGAGCTAGAGTGGAATGATTCTCTTTATTCTGGCAACATTCAAAAGACAACAGCAGACCACACACAGCCCAGAATTTACCCATTCCTTTTATAGATGATCTTCTCCATGATATAGCAAAAAGTCTATGACTTGGGTTTGAATCCTGAACCCAGAAAACTTAAGTTTTGTGTTTGTTTCCTTACCTAAAAAAGGAGGACATGATCTTACTTTGAGGAAGAAATAAAATCATGGATGTAAGAGAATCCACCACAGTGACTGCCCATTGTAGGCATCTGATAAAGGGAATGTGTCTACGTCTGTGCCTGTCTCTCTCTCACCCCACCTCCCCAAGTCAAATACAATGTTTTGTTGGTTCTTGTTCTCCTTGACCTTCACAGCATTTGACCACCTCTCCTTTCTGAAAATCTCTTGGGTCCCTCTGCCCCTAATAGATCCTTGTCTATTTCTTTGGACACTCCCCTTTCTGGCTTTGTTGGTGCTCTGTGCCTTTCTGAATGTACTATCATTATCTTCTTTGAAGGCATGTTTTGGTCCTTCCACCAGGTATGGAAATTCATCTCCATGATCTTCTCTTTGCCCACTGCCTTCCTTAGCTTATACACACTTTCTACTTCCTTGGCTTCGTTTATAATTTCTAGGCAAAAGACTTCTAAATCTGTACCTCCAGATCCATCACTTCTCATCTTCTAATACCTAGTGTGCGTGTTCATTTGAATTTCCAATATTACCTCATGCTCAATACTTCTGGCAAAAGGATTACGTTGCCCATGTAATTCAGACTGAAGATCTCAGAACATTTACGAATCTTTCTTCTCCCTCACCTAACATCGTTGAGGTAATGTCTTTCCAATCCATCTTTTCTTTTGTCAATCTTGCTTCTATCAGGGTCCCACATGCCGTGTCTCCATTGTTACAATCACTTTCTAATGGGCTGGCTCCCTTCCCTCCTTCCTTCAATTCCTTCAACCTGCTCTGTACAGTTACCAGATTAGTCTAAGGAGTCACTTCTAACATCCTCTACTCAGAAACCTTCAATGGTTTCCAATGTCTCAACAACAACAAAAAAATCCAAACTTTTATCCTGGCTTTAAAAAATGCTTCATATTCTGACCTCGAAATGCTAGTCTAGCCTTATCTCTATGTGTAACTTCCATGTTTACCAGATTAGCCTGTTTTGTAATTTCTCAAGCATGTGATATGGACCTTAAATCTATATACCTTTGCTGATTTCTCTAAAAGTGCCTTCCTTCTACCAATCTTGTTTACACGAAGACTATCTTTCCAATGATTCTGGCCCAAAGTTACTCTTACTTTCTTTGGGCTCGTATAAATTAATTGTATACTGCCTGGTAATAGCCAGCTTTTAGGATCCAGGTATGTATATCTATATATACATCTTTATCTGAAGAACTTGCTTCATATACTTTTTTTTTTAATGTGTATTATGTTCTCTCTCAACTACAATGAAAACTTTTTTTTTTTTTAAAGATTTTATTTATTTATTTGAGAGAGAGAGTGAGAAAGAGAGAGCACAAGAGGGGGGGGAGCGGGAGAGGGAGAAGCAGACCCCCTGCCGAGCAGGGAGCCCGATGCGGGACTCGATCCCGGGACTCCAGGATCATGATCTGAGCCGAAGGCAGTCGCTTAACCAACTGAGCCACCCAGGCACCCCTACAATGAAAACTTCTTTGAGGGATCATGCAGTATGCATTTGTGTCCTCCAAAGCACACAATCTATTGCCATTCAAACTGTCTGCACAATTGGTAGTGGAAATAACTGGAAAGACTGCATTTCAGGGATTTACATAAATTTTAAAGGCACAGTTCTAGTGAAGATGAAGATAGGGGCAGGAACATTTTTTCATGAAGCATTTTCACAGTCCTTAGAGTTCTCTCAAATTCTCTTAGGATCTCTCTGTAGCTAGCTAGATTTACATACATAAAGTATACACACACACACACGTAAAGTGAAAACACCTCAGTTTACTCTTAAGACTCAATAAACCCCATGTCAGTGGCCATAACATTATTTCTGAATTTTATGAGATGGTCTGACTTAGATGTGCTGGCCTAAGTCACTTTCTAAAAAGTAGTTTTATTATCATTTATGGCAACTTGTAGCTCATAAAAATAAAACAACCAATGTATGTATCTAACTCTACCATGTTCCAATTTCCAAGAAATCTTTGGCTCAATGATCTGGGTGATGATATATTAGAAGGTTTCTGATTCCATGCCTATCCAATTTAAAAAAGATCCTAGATCATAGTAGTGCTTCTGAAGCTCAGAAGAAGTGCTCTGCTTCTTTACCCCTCTACCTGATTAGAGTCCTGATAGAAAATAAATAAATTATTAAGGTGATTGTGGGTGAACACACAATCTCTGCTACCATTTTGTGTGTGTAAGATTCAAAGACACTGAAAAGATTCTGCTTAAATATAAGAAACTAGGATATTAAAATGCTGCAATATTAAAAATTTCCATAGAGTTACTCAACTTCGGGGAATTTAAATATCCACTACTAGAATAAAAACTGATTAATGAATAAGCATGCATTAAATTAGTCTCTAGTTAGCCAACTCCTAATTCCTGTGCTCTTGAAGTATTTTGGCATTTCAAATAAAACAATGTGTAGATAATCTTCAAGTCTTTTTCTGGCCAGTAGTTTTAAATCTGCTAGCCCACTCTGGCAGTCTCCAAAATTCACTCTTCCATTCTTCCAGAGTCATAGAGTTTTAGCCTCTCTTGCAGTTAGGTATAGCCATGTGACCAAGTTCTTGTCAGCAGACTAAAGGCAGAAGTGATATGAGCAGGTTCTGGGTCACTTGGTTAAAAGGAAATTGCTTGCCCTCCACTTCCTTCCTTTCCAACAGGCTGGAAGGCAGAAGTAGTGGTGACCCAAATTCAACAAGCACATAAGGACAACCTCCTAAAGAACAGCAGAATAACAATATGGAAGGAAACCAGGTCCCTGAATGTGTGGAGCAAAGTTGCTCTAAGAGTCTAGACCCCTCACTTTTAGGCTTTTAAGTATGATAAAATTAAATAATCTTACTAAGGGGCACCTGGTGTGGCTCAGCAGGTTAAGCCTCTGACTTCAGTTCAGGTCATGATCTCAGGGTTCTGGGATGGAGCCCCATGTAGAGCTCTGTGTCCCTCACGTTCCACACTCAGTGGAGAGTCTACTTCTCCCTCTCCCTCTCCTTCTGCCCCTTTCTCCCTGGTCATGCTCTCTCTCTCTCTC